CTGCCATGTGGCCTTGGAAAAGCCCTCTAAGGCGTGCCTAAAGGGAAGCTAAGGGGGTACCTTAGCATCATCCTCTGTCAAATGTAAATAACAGCAGCACATATCTGATACGGTTGCTGTGACAATCTGATAAGTTAAAACTAAGGGCAAGGCCCAGGTGAGCATCATGTCTGAGTTGGCTATTAGTAATGCTGCCATTTAATGGTGGGTTCCTCAGTGTTGCCCTGGGTGACGGCTTTTCCATCACACTCAGACAGACTCAGAGAATTCTCCAGGCCCCTGTCCCATACCATTTCTGAACCCACGTCTGAGCCAATTAGATATTTCATCTCTTTGCCACAGGGGTTGGCTCAGGGGTGGGCATATAAGCAGTCAAATGAACAAGACCCAGGCAACCCAAACCGTGACTTTCAGTGCTCTACTGGGGCCTCCAACTGGCTCCCATGAACTCAGCATAGGAGGATTAAAGGCTGGAACTACTACAATTATCACACTCTTATGCAGAGCCCTGGTCTGGAGTCCACACAGATGGAAGGAAGCCAGTTCTAGTGACACTACATGACCCCTGACCCCAACTAGCTCTGTCCCTAGACCTCTGGGCCATGCGAACCAATGAGAATCCTTTTTGCTTAAACAAATTCAGGTCAAGAGTTGTTCATTTGCAACCCAAAGATCATTTGCAACCCAAAGAGGCTAAATTGACATTCCATTATACAGATGAAGATAATGAGACTCAAAAAGTACATCAAGAACTCTTCTAAGATCACACAATCAGCAAGGTGATACCCTACCTAATGGATACATTGTGAGGCTCCCCAAGAGAGGTCAAACTACAACCGTGAGGATACAGGAATGCAAGGTAGGAGCCCAAGAGGGCTTCTGGAGCGGGGGGGCTTAGTATTAGCATCAAACTTTTACTAATGGATGCCAGACACTCTGTTCAGAGCTTCAGGTGCAACGTCACATCACATATGAGCTGTGCCTTGAAGAATGGGCATGATTTGTGCATGTGGAAATGAAGGTGGGCCTTGCATTCTTATCTGAAGCTTACAAAATAGTGTCTGTGTACCTTGACACCCTGGGAAAAGCAGCTGTGACTCAAAGCTACACCAGAGCTCTCTCCAGCAGCGGCAGGCAGGGCTGGAATAGGATGCCCCACTTATACTCAGCCACTTAATCTTAAGCCTCCCTTCCTCCAAAAACCCATCCCAGCAAGATTGGACTGCAGATCACTTCAGTTTCAGAGCTCGTATATCTCAACCATGTTGTCTACTCAGTTCCAGCTAAGGGATATAGGCTAATGAGTGAGCAAGATAAGCGTCCTGGTAATTGAAGGATGGGCCAGTCAGACTAGTGAGAGGCGAAGGTAAGAAGTGCCGTGTTGCAACACAGCGGCCGGCCACCCTGCCCCTTTCAAAGTCATGTTTTCTGGGACATTTGGTAGGACATTCTCTGTAGGTTCAAGCTTCAAAAAAAGAAGCAAGGAATCAGACAGTGTGGTCATTTCCACTGAAGAAACATTTATGGAGCGCTTACTGTATGCCGAGCTCTGTAGTAGGCGAAGGAGATGGAGAGAAGAGAGGCGGTGTCCCTGTCTTCAAGCAGTTCACAGGTGGATAGTAACTCCCAGGGCACTGTGAGGACTCAGACACAAACTAGCCGAGAGAGTGGGCACCTGGTCTGGCTTGGGGGCCAGTGGGCAAAGAGAACACAATTAAGACTTCTAAAAGGAAACCCAAGACCTAGAAGAAGAGTCAAAATTAGCCAGAAAATAAAACAGAGAGCAGGGGAAGTGGGAAGAGGGACCAAATCCCTCCTTACAAGGGGAGCAAAATCGTGCAAAGACTTAGGAGAGGAGAGAAAGAGGCCAGGTTACGAGGTAAATACAACTTTAAGGCAGGAGCAGAGCAGACAGAAGAGGGGAAACTATTCTATTTCTCAAGTTCCTAGTATGCCCTGGCCCCGTACTGTGAAATGACGTGTATAGAGTGTGGGCAGAGTCCCTGGCACATGTTAACAGAGCCTGCTCTTTTGAGCATTCACTCGGGGCAGGCACCATGCCAAACGCTTGGTATACATGCTCATCATTATCACAAAATCCCTGTCTACCTCTCACTAAGAAAAAGACGGGTTCAGAGAGGTCAGCTAATTTGCCTAAGGTCTAACATTTGGGGCAGAGCAGGATTCACATCCTCATTTTGGCACCAGGCACCTCCAGGGTATGTCTCCCTGCCCAGTGATCCTCCTCACTGTGCTGCCACCAAAGGCTCTCAACAATGTCAACCTAAAACAACAGCATCCTCTGGCCTGGAGATGCAGGAGGGGTTGGCTGTGCCATTCTGACCCTGCCTTGCTGTATCTGTTGTTTTGACCTTGAAGATGTTCCAAAGTTGCCACCATGACCCATCAATGCTCCATGGCAGCCCGACATGCCAGCTTCTGTCTGTCTACGGGAGTCTGGTCCCTATTTATACCTACCCTGTATTCAGCCTCTAATGGCTGGGAACACTCCTCCCATGCAAGCAGGTTTGTTTTAACTGCTTCACGCAGTTCAGTCCACTTGCAGCCTAAAAAATGAGTTGAAGGAAGAGAGTGAAGGGCTTTGCGGAGGTCAGAGGGTGAGTCAGAGGAAGACCTGGGTGCTGACCTCAGATGCTGTGTCTCCTGGTCGGTCCCTCTTCCCCAACCCCAACTGCCTGAGCTCACATCACTGTGACAGCGACCAAGCCTAGCCCCTCATCAGCAGCTTCAAGCTGAGCTGAGAGTCAACGGTCAGTGATGTTTCCCTGACGGGTGTCCATCACTCCTTCCAGTCTCTGAGGATCCCAGGCTGGGTCTGCTTGAAACAGCCAGAGCCATGCTTCCTCAGGCAGGACACAGACAGCAGGTCATAAATCACTTCTGGGCTGCTTCCTTCTCTCATTCCCAGATTTCTCTGAAAGGGGTCGAGGTGGGATCCTGGAACAGGAGATTCTGCAACAGCCTGCATATTTACATCACTGAGGGACCAGTTGTAGCTCAAAGGTGGACACTGAAACTCTGAACTCTTCTGTTGAAGAAAATGCCTCTGAGCTCCCCGGCTTCAAAATTGGCATCAGGAAATGGCAGGGAAGTTGGTGATCTAAACCAGAGATAAAACAGGGAGGCAAGAGCTGATCTCAAATATGTTTTTATGTATACACACGCAGAGCTCTTCCGCTTAGCTTTTCTAGGTTACATCCATTTTTTATTAGTCTCTGAGATCCCAACTTTGGACAACTACTATGTATTTTGACAGGGCAAAGGTTTACAAAGACAAAGGCACGTGTGAAATGTCACACAATTATCTAGTCATCTGTCTTCTCCAACAGAAAGATTTGCCTACACCATAAAAAAGTGAAGTTATTCCAGCCTGGCCAATATGGTGAAACCTCATCTCTACTAAAAATATATTTAAAAAAAAAAATTCAGGCATGGTGGTGGGTGCCTGTAGTCCCAGCTACTCGGGAGGCTGAGGCAAGAGAATCGCTTGAACCCAGCAGGTGGAGGTTGCAGTGAGCCAAGATTGCACCACTGCACTCCAGCCTGGGCAACAGAGCAAGACTCTGTCTTCAAAAAAAAAAAACAAACAAACAAAAACCGTGAGGTTATTTTAGAATTCATTTGAAAGATATATGTAGGACTTCCAGATGGGGTCATTTAGTTTAAAATAACTCCAATTACAAATTAGGCAGAGTCCATTTAAAATGTCCGTTAGGGGACTTGAATGATTTCATGGGTCACTTTGTGTAATCATTGGGAGTTCGGAGGGACAGTCTCCACTGAGATGCCACAGGTCTTTGTCCCTTCCAATGTTGTTATCAGCAACTCAGGGGAAGAGCAGGAAATTCAGAAAACCTCCAACTATTTATGAGCTCCTCTGTGGCCCACACCATAGGAGACACTCCAGAGGCACAATCGTTAATCCCGACAATACCCAATCTGCAGAGGACAGACCTGGCTCTGTGAGGCTAGGTCATATAAAAAGCACATCAATTTCATTTGCCACTGGCACTGAGCTGAAAAACAAATTGAAACTACCTGATGGCACATTCTAGATCCAAACCGATTTAGACAAGCCCAGAACGGACTGAATCTAAGGACATGGAGCTTATGGAGGATTGCTATGAATTTCTGTGCTTGGGTTCAAAAACAAGCACACAAATCCAGGATGGGGGAAATGTGAGAAGAAAATGCCTGGGCTTGAGTCCACTGTCCATGAATGATGAGTCACCAGTGTTAGGTGTCTGCCAGAGAGGCTGGTGAAATTGTGGGCTGTATTAGGAGCAGACAAACTGCAGCTGAAGGAGGTGGAGCATAGGTGCTCTCCCTATGATAGGAGGCTCACACCTGGGTGTCTGCGTTCAGTTCTGAGACTTGAACCCTCAGAGGGCAGCAGGAACCAGATGCGCCCACCTGGGAGTTAGTAACCAGAAGGAGTTGGCACTTAAAACCGAAACGTGGAAAAGTTAAAGACGCTGGCTGTATTTTGAATGAAAAACAAAAAGCAGGGAAAGGGTGTCATACTGGCTCTTTCCAATTCCCAAAGACTCTGCTGCACAGAAGCACTTATTATACATGGCTTCATGAGTCTGTAAAGTCAGGGCTAAGGTCTAGAAGAAGGGAGTATGACTTCAAGTTAAACAAGAGCTTTCTTCACAATCTCAAGAACTGTGGGAATACAGATGGACATAATGGGAGGTAAAATTGAGATCAGCCCCTGTCACTGGAGGTGATCAGGTACATAGAGTTAGAGTCATGTTGTGGAGTTTTGTGGGCTCTGGGCACCGTGGCTTCTGTGGACCCTTTGTTCTATTAAAAAATATTTTAAATTATATTTTACAACTATGTTGGTATGATGACAGACATAATCCATGCTATACTACATTCCTCTTGTACTTCTATTTTTAAAGTTTTTTAAAAATGTTTTTGTGGACCCTCAAGAGTCTTGTGGGCTCCAAGAAAGGTGTCTGTTGGGCCGCATGGAGAAGTTGTCCCTGAATGCAGCCAGCTCACCTAAACCAGGTTCAAACTCCTATACTGGTTGGAAGGACGGTGTTCAGATCAGATCCCCAAACTTCCTCCAGCCTGAGGTTCCACAAGGTGAATTCTGCCAAAGAAGACAGGAGTGCCCAAAATCTCTTTTCGAGATTGTTAACATGAATGTGTTTTAAAGGGAGCACAAGTTAAAGAACTATGTACATGCTTCGATGCCATTGTGTAAAAACTACACACATACACCCCAACTATTACAGATGGTAATCACTGAGACCAAGGTTTAAAGACTGGGGTGGAGATGAGGAATAGCAGTTCGTTTATTTGATAGCTCTTATTTCTGTCCTGTTCAAATGTTTATATTTAACAAGGAGCATGTATCACTGTTATAAAGGTACTAAATAAAAACTATTAACAGAAGGTCTGTAAATTTTACTATAATTTTATTTTGAGTGGATGGGGAGGTTTGCCCAATATGCTATTCTTTCTCAGATAAGGAATACTCCTTTGTGATGGGGGATGCTGCGAGGATGTCACAGAGCATGTCTGGGGTTTTCAACGCACAGAAAAACACATCAGAGATATCAGCAACACCCACGTTGCCACCAAGAACTAAGGTATAAAACAGGGCTGTAAGGGACCCCTTTACTCAGGCGTCAGCCAAACAAACTCAGAAACAGAAATTCAGAAGCCACCTGCATTGACATACTCATCCTGGTAATCACAGGCGTGTCTACGTTTGGTCTGTATTTTCTAAAACTCTGTTTCTTTCCCAGGTCGAATGGCTGCTGAATGCCTTTGGAACAGGAGCTATGAATCACCCCGCCCTCAGGGCTAGGAAGGAGGGTGAAAAACTTCACAGAACTAGCACTACCGCACTACCGAGGAGCCTGTCCTCTGAGTTATCATGCATGAGAGACGCAACCCGCATCATGATCGCCCTCATATCAGGTCCCCTTTTCTGTTTCTGCTTTTCTGTTAATCAGTTCTGAGTTCACCACAATAAAAATCTTTGAAGGGCTGAATGCTTTTGAGACAAATTCCCTCACCGGTGCAGGCTGTGAAGAGGATGAGAAAGGATGACAGTGGAAGAACAAATCATAAAGCTGACCCTAATTGAAGGAAAACAAAAATTAAGGAGATGCCTATCCCCTGAAAAAGGAAAGTGGAAACAAACAAACAGAAAAAGAAACCCGGGAAATCTATTGACTGAAAATGACAAGAGTGGGGGAAAACAGGCCCCATCATAATTTTATAGCTCTGTCTATTGTTTAAAAGCAAAGAAGCCCTTTCATTCCCACGTTCAGGTGTGCACAAAACTATGTATTAAACACCTCCAGTCTGCGCGGCCGTGTTGCGTCTTTGTCAGGTGAAGAAAGCGAAGAAGGTTGGTACACCTTCCCAGGAATTCTCACTGAAGAAAACGTCTGGATTTTTTATATCTCTTGTGCAAAACAAACAGATTTCATTAAGTGATGTATATTGTTTTCCAAGGAAGAACCCTGCAGAGACAAAAACAAATAAGCAAATAAATGAAACAAAAATATGATTTAAAAAAAACCCAAATTCTTCCAATGCTAATTTACTTGTTATCATGGTTCTCTACAAAGGCAGAGATCACTAATTACAGGTTTTTCCAGAGTACACATTTCATGTCAAGATCATCCAATCCAAACAGTGTACGGAAAGCCCAGGCCTTCTCCTTCACTTTGCCCCCTACCCCACCCTACACATACGCCCCCATCTAAATGATACCCTTGGAAAGAAACCTTACACATCTCATTTATCTATATTTTGCTTCCTCCCTTGCCTCCCTGTAACCAAATGTGAGCTGTTCTCTAACTGCACTGGAAAATCAGAATTTATTGTACATACGTTTGTGTTCCACTTAATAAAAAAACCTATATTTTAAGATAAACTTTGTTAGTAATTCATGAGGTAAGTGACTATTTATGCTAATCAGGCAGAAATATATTCTCAAGCATAATGCATTACATAAATTTGAATGCAAAATGTTCAATTATGAAGTAAATACAGGTAATGCAAATAATAAATTACCTCTAATAAAAATTATAAAAGATGTGTCTTGAAAGAGAGAGCGGCTTTAACTTACAACTGTGAATTGCTTAAAGAGAAAAGAATTAATACACGCTGAATTACTCTGATGATTATTTAGCACATAATTCACCTATTCGTAACGACTCCTAGTAATCAGAGTGTTGTTTCACATCCTCCAATATGAGGCAAGACTGTTTCCTCAGCAATTTTACCCTTATCAGATTATCTCGTCTGATTCTATTAATTTTCTTCCATGAATCTGCTAACAGTGATTTGTGATTTACTTACCCTGCTAACTGAAGACTGTTAAAAGGATTTATCTAACACTAGACCTAAGAACAGGGTATGCCTTATCATTCAGTTACTCTGAAGAACTCTTTCTCAAATCAATTTAGTTGGTTTCATAGTGAAATTTAGTGGACACTGGCTAGTTCTGCCCCATAAAATCAGCTCCTAAACAAAGACTTCAGACACTATACCTGATGCATCCCGTTCTATTCAGGTTATGGATGTCTGATTCCAGCATGATGTATTTGAGTTGCTGTAACTCACAATCAGGAAAAATACATTCCTTTAAGCTTTTAATCTTTGTAATTTGGACATGTACAGGGGTTTTGTTTTTCACTTTTGCATGAAGTCGTTATGTATGTACTGACGTGAAACTATCATTGTGTTTCTGATGTTACTGTGTCACAATATTCTATGCGATGCAACCCATGCCCTCCTCCCCCTCAAAAATCTTCTATAAATATTCATTGCTTTCAGAAACTTTAATACTACTGGTCTGCATTGGTCAATAATGACAAATGCATGGTTTCTAAATTACTGTATATTGTTCTACAGAGATTACTATAGTATATATAGCAAGGGGATGCTAAGCAGTAAGAAAACACAGTTCACATTGTATTTGGATTAGATTGGCTTGGATAGAAGTGAAACAAACAATGTTAGCCAAGAAGTCTAAGGAAATGTGGCCCACTGTAATTGTACAGAATCAAAAACCTGAATAGTACTAATTAAAATGAGAGAGCTCAATTGTTATAAAAGAAATGCTGCTAACAGAGAACTGTAAATGTTTAGACACCCCTGTGAATCACTAAATAATAACGTAAAAAGGATAAAAATGAGAATTAAGTTGTAAGCCTGAGAGCACTACTGCTACACATCTAAAAAAATAATTCTGATCCTCTCTTTTTTTTTCCAGGAGAAAATGGGAGACTATAAAAGACCTTGCAATAAGAGAAATAAAAATACCATGTCTTGACAGCAGTGTACATAAATAAACCATAAAAATGTGCAGATAATAATATATTTAGCTGCCCAAACATGGGCATTTAATTTCTAGAAATGATATATAACAATGTAACAATTAGATACTCTGCCACGAATGTGTACGGCATAGTCTTCACCATTAGCAAATTTTGTGTATAAAATAATATTATTTATTATAATACTGCTTTCAAAGGCATACCTTACAGCTTTTCACACAAATATGATGCAAAGGGATTAAAAATATATCATAAACAAAAAATAAATTCCTTCTAAATATACTTAAATTCCTATTTTACATGAAAAATATAAACTTCAGACATTTGTGACTACTGACTTTTAAAAAGACCTAGAAAACTATTGTTATGGGCAATGTTAAATGACATAATGCTTATGTAATGGAAAATGTGGATTTTCCTCTAAATACATAAACTATAATCCCTTAACTTCATTACTAGGTAAAATATTGTTAAAGAGAAGGAAAACAAGGGAATTCTGCTAGGTTGCATAAATATTGACATAATCTTCACTCTTTCTTCCCCAAACTGGTAATAGACATAGTTTATTCCACCCAACAAAATGCTCCTATAAAACCAAAACTACCCTTATAAACAACTTCTCTGCAGTCTCGATGAAAAGAAACATTACTTGTCTGAAAAATGCCGACAGCGCTGCCCTTTTCAGATTAGGATGTGCCTACAAATCTTTTGGGAAGTCTCCCATTAAGGATTCCTGGGTTTGCTGAAACTGAAGGCTACCAGGATCAGAGAAATTAACACAGGTCTAATCTGGTGCAAGGAGCGAGTGAGAGACACCTGAGGTTATAAATAGCAAAGTATGCTACGGGGTGGGGAAGACCATTCTGAAGTGCAATGTTCAAGATGCTGGCTTAATATATGACTAAGTGTCAGAAGTCAGGTTTTCTGAGAATTACTTTTCAGATAAACAACTTTATAGCACTGCACTTAATCTTACTAGAGGCATCTCATTTATCACTGAATTACAAGTAACTTTAATTCTATTGATATTGCCATAAAGCCCGTTGAAAATCCCTCCTGGCACTTTTAAAGGGTTTGGGGCCCTGTTACATGGGGATCCGCTTGCAAAGGTCTCAGCCAGAAATTACACCCGGAGGGTGTCTGTATCCCCTGGCTTCTTTGTCAACAATCAAGAAGAGGAGGGGCAAAAATGATCCCTGCATCTGCCAGCACTTTCTTCGGCCCCTTTCCTATAGAGTCGGGTTCTCCCACTTCAGTCAAACTAACTTTCTGTGCCTCTTTCCTCCTTCCACATTGGGTAACCAGCTGCTTTTCACTTCATCGACAAAACTGGACACGGATCAATTTCAACTGACCTTTGCCGAAAGGTGGCGCTGTTGAGGTAAAAACCAACTCGCTCCAACAATAGTTTCCACTCTTCGATCTTTTTGCAGGCTTTTCAGAATTTTTTTTTTTTAATGCACCCTCCTAGAGTCTCCCCCCACCCCCCCGCCCATAAAGTAAAATAAATACGATTAACAACCCCAAATGCATTTCATTAATTGAAGGAATCAACAGTCCCAACTTCTAAGCAGGCGGACTGGTCTTCCAAAGGCCCGGTCGGTTTCAGGAGCTTTCTCTCCAAATAAATCTCTGCTTCTTCGACTTGCCTATCGCTTTAAAATCTTAGAAACAGAGTTAGTTGTTGGTTTTCTTCTTTCTCTTTTCTTTTTCTTTCTTTTTTATTTCTTTTTTGCATACACTTTAACAGAATCGATCTAGAAAATTGAACTACTTATTAGCATTTGCAACTGGGGTGGGGGGAGCAGCCTCCCCTAGCCCACCCCCCCCCCCCAACTCTGGGTTTCCGGGCTAGTTCCAGAAACCGCGGTTTAAAATTTAACCCTTCGAGGGGAGCTGGTGAGGGCTGGGGTATTGTTTTTCCCCCTTGCTCCCCGCCACGATCAAGTCCGAAATAATTAAAGGAAACGTAAAAGTGCAAAGGGCGCGCCTGACCCTGATAAACAGAGGTCAGATTTCGTAAGGGGATGGGTGAGTGTGAGAGAGAGAGTGTGTGTGTGTGTGTGTGTGTGAGAGAGAGAGAGAGAGAGAGAGCGCAATCTGAGTCTCAAAGGCCAAACTCTGGCCAGTCAGGAGCCGGAGGGCTGAGCCCGGCTGACCTGACTTTGAGCTTCCCTGGAGTTATCTCGCATAGGCGCTCGGTCCGTCCAAGGGCACGCGACGCCAGCGGGCAGCCAGTCCCCGTGAAGAATGGCCTCTAACCAACTTATTTTACCTCCTTTTAAAGAGAGTGATAAAATGGGCTTTCTCTCTCCACGGACTCACAGCATTCCGGGCAGGCGCACGGCGGGGCAGCGTCCAGCCCGCAGCCCCGATCCGGACACCCCAGCTCATCCCTCGCTTCCCGGTCCCTTCCCCTCCCCGGCCGCCCGAGAGAGGGACAAAGAGTTGCGGCCAAGTTTGAGCGTCGGGCACGGCCAGGCTCAGGGAAGGAAGGTCCCCCGGCAGACACCTGGGTGCCAGAGGTGGTGCGAGGAGGAAAAGCTGGGAGGCGAATTCATAATTCTAGGAGTGGAGGGCAGGCAAGGGAGGGGAATCAGGCCAATCCCAGCCAAGCGAGCCCCTGGCGAGCTGGGGCTCCGATGGAAGGCCTGTCTCGCGCTCCAAAGAAAAGCAAACCGTCCTTCCAAGTCCGCCCGGGTTGCCGAAGCCCCTCTGGAAAAACTCCCTCCCCTCTTACACCAAACTTTGCGCCGGGCCTCGTTCCCTCCCGGGTAGGCAGTGGCGCAGGAAGGGTTAAGCCAGCCCGTCCCAGCTGACAGTCAGCTGATTGGGCCCTGATTGACAGCTCCGAAAAGTTTCCTTGTTTCTATACTATTATGCTAATCGCGGCCGCTCTCGCCGCCTCCCATTGGCCCGGAGTGCCAGTCAATTTCTCATTTGGACCTGACGTCACGAGTGCTATAAAACTCAGCAATTGCTTTAAACTCTTCTTGCTGGATCAGAGGCTTTAAAATCTTTTTTCATCTTCGAGCTGTAGCTCGGGCTGCTTGTCGGCTTGGCCTCCCCCTCCCCCCTTTGCTCCCTGCCTTGTCTTTCCCCAGGACTTCGCTATTTTGCTTTTTTTTAAAAAAAGCAAGAAAGAACTAAACTCCCCCCTCCCTCTCCTCCAGTCGGGCTGCACCTCTGCCTTGCACTTTGCACAGAGGGAGAGAGCGCGCGAGGGAGAGCGAGAAAGAGAGAGAGAGGAAAGAAAAAAAATAATAAAGAGAGCCAAGCAGAAGAGGAGGCGAGAAGCATGAAGTGTTAACTCCCCGGTGCCAAGGCCCGCGCCGCCCGGACAGACGCCCGCCGCGCCTC